TTTTTGCGAGTTCATGGACCTCGACTCCGTCTCGGTCCATGAACACGCAAAAAAAGAACTTGGCCAATATCCAGCCATCTTAACCGAACAAGCTTGGTCTATAACCCATACAAATTGTGGCACATTAAGCGATATATAGCCTAGAGTGTCACTGATGTTCTTACCACATTTTGATGTCTGTGATCGATTACTGAATAAGTGCACGGCAACATGGAATCTATTTGTTTTATTCAATAGAGAAACAAACTGAAGAATGTTTTAAATAACGTCCATGCTTCTGACCTTCAATAGATCGTAATTAAGGACTAATCAAAATGCGAGAAAAATTTTGACTTATAGTCGAACCTCCCGTAAGCGACCACCCAAAATGTCAAGCCTAGGCGGTCGCGACGAGTGGCTCCGAACAGCAGTTTGCCTGAGTCACTTGCAGATAGTCAATCGACGCTATTTAGATCGTGCCCGACCTAGAAAAAACGTCCGTGTGTCGAACCATGATAGGAATCAACACAACAGTTTAACTACAGTAATCCCAGCATAATTTAATACTTAAATTTACCTATCGTGCATTGCTTTGAAAAGGGCAGCCTTCGTACTTCTTACGTATTTCTAAATCAGTTGGTTAGACTGTTTATACACCTCCTACGTCAATAAAGGGCTTGAAAAACTATTCACAATTTAATGGAGTTGTTTTGTGTGTTAGAACAAACCGGTCATGTCTGACTTCCCGTACTGGTTCCTTCTCGTTCTTACCGCTGGAAGCCTGGTGCAAGTTGCATCGACAGTCATGCGCAGATCACAAAGCTGTGAAGAACAGTTGCAAGCTGTATCTGTTGATCCTGCAATCTGTGAGAGGATTCGGTCGGCGGCATCCTGCGTTCGCCGTGCTGTCTTGGATATTGACGCTAAGGTATATACTCGAAGAGTTCAGCCTTGCTTTGAGGTTCGATTATCAGCCGCTCTTCGGGAAAGGAGCCCGCGCTACTGACCGGACTCGAAAGAGCGGCAGAAATCGAGCTTACCGTACAATTCCTGTAGGATAAAACTGTCAACCCTTACCGAGAGTTGTTTTATCTGTCATCTACCCTTCTTTAAAATTCCCCTCCACTGACAAGAAGGCCTCAATAAACGAAGACCTTTTAGCTCTTTGCGGTTAGAATTTCTTCAAGCGCTCAAGATGCCCACGAAATTCCATTCTGATGACGCAGCGCTTGAGAGATCCGTGTAGTGTCTCTTATTGGTCGTTACTTGCGCGCACAACCGTGCGACAACCAATCATCGACTGCCATAGGTATCTTTGTAGAATCAGGTCATCACTATATGATCAGTATAAAAAGTCAAAATGCTCTTTTACGTGTCTCGAGCAGCGTCAAGGATGCAGCTAAACCGGCCCTCATGAAAGAGTAGTATTGCCTTTAAAATGTTAGTTTTCTAGTTGCTGGAACTACAGTAACCTGTCACTGTGTTTTGGTTCAGCAAATTGGACACATCGAAATTTTTGTAAGTCCGCAGACATCTGTTTATACCAGTTGATTAAGCAAGTGTTAAAAGTTTCCTCTGTTATCTTTGCTCTGCTATTTATCATCAGTGTTATTTTAACTGACTTTGTTTCTCGCTTTGTTTCGTCTCAAGATAAGCAAAAGTGCAAAAGAAGCCATCGAAGAAGCCACAAACATTCTTCATTCGAGTACACACCATCTGAAAATGAAATTGCCACAGTATTTAAAGGGGAAGAGAAGATCTTTGCAGAAACGGGAAGTTCCAGGTATAATTACAAGGCTAAAAAATACGTTCTGAAGACGCAAAAAAAAAAAAAAATTACACAGCCTTCATCGATAATTTTTGATCTTTGAATCTTTGATCTACGATATGCTTTCTCTTTTTTCCTTACTGTATTTAATTTTTGAGTTGTTATAGGTTGTGTATAACATTCTAGTCTGAAATAAGTTGTGATCTCTAAATAGATCTCATGTTTATTCTATGTCATATCTTGCAATGATGGGAAAAATCTTAAAATCTGCAAACTTGAAGGACCGAGGAGGGGGGGAGTGGGGTCACGGAAGGACAAGAAATTCTCTTTGAAAAAAAAATAGATTTAAAAAACGCTATCAAAGACCTCTTGAGCCTAGATGGATTTATAATTTGCATTGCCAAATATCGCGTCTAACGTAGATGAACACCTCGCCTAAAACTCCAAGTAGGTGCCCGCACCCCCTTCCCCGAAAGTATGACAAGGTTATCTCTTCAGTTGACTCTGACCCTCTAAATCTGCCTTCAGTTGGCAATCGATGTCCTTCTCAATAATTCTACATTTTTTCACAGATGACCTCTCCAACTTTCATGCCCTCGTAAAGAAAGCTGCGTCTTCTGCAGTTTTAACAGTCAAGGAAGGGAGTGAGGAGGTTCGAGATGCCCTCGTTAACATAATCATCGCATTGCACTCTTCTCATGATGACATCAATGAGGCAACAAGAGATATTTTAGGCAAGATGATGGCCAAGAGATCAACGGACGGTAAGCAACAGATCTTTAATTTGTCTTAATCGGCTCTTAATACGCCCCGTTCGATATATTAATATTCTAACATGGCTCGGTGGCTTTCAGGACAACATTGCCAATTAAGTATCTTTTGTCCCTCAATTCCCAAAAGAGACTTGGATACAAAGAAAAAAAAAAACACAAAATATAGAAGTTTGTCCTAAAAGCCTCAGATCGAAGGAGACTCTACTCGCAGGGTATGAAAGCCTCGGAGCCATGATAGAATATTGATATGTCGAAAGTGGCCTATTTCCCGGGGATAAGGGAGTTCTCCCCATAATAAACTAGATGGGTAGGTTTTTTCCAAAAGGGGTCTTTTTTCACTCTGGAGGTATATGAAAGGGTAGGGTTTTTCTCGAGTTGTAGTACAGAAAAGGGTAGGAAAAACTGCCGTCATTTAGATGTTTGAAAAGGTTTTTCCCCGTAATAAATTCAACTGTGATACCTATGCCGGTGATTCAATTTAAAAAATATACATTCTGCTAGTGTATTGCGGAAAGAGCCATCTGAGCTCTTAAACCTTGTCTGCCATGAGCCAGTAAGTTATATTAATATACAGTGAGTTCATTTAGGTACTGTGAATCAGAGTACAAACCAAAGTCTTCAACTTCATCATTTTTGTCCCGTGAACTAGAAGCTGTAGGCCAAGCGATGGTAAATGCTTCTATCGAGTTGAAGGCGGCTATGACAAAAGCGGTGCTGACTGCCTTGAGTGGATTTAACGACATGGTGAACAACATGGAAATCAAGACGAAGACTCTCCTGCAGGACAGAGTTCGAGTTGGTACGTTTATAAAATACACACAATAAATATTCACTGTAAATTTAAAAAGTCTGTTTTGTTGTTTTTTCTCTGAGATGTGCAGTTGGTTCGCTGCGTTTGTTGTGATCATGACTACAGTAACTACTTTGGTTCCAATTTTTAGGAACTTTTAAGCAAACCACAACGGCGACGGCAACAGGAACGTCGCTAAACAAAGGCTTTGACGAACCCAGCGGCAGAACAATAGCTTTGCACGTGCGTTATAAATCTTCCAAAAAATAATGCAAAACAACAATGTGAAATTACAGAGTTCTTTGAAACCTGGAGAAGATGAGCCACGAAGGCCAATTATTTAAATTTATTTTTTGACCAAAGGCTGCCTTACATATTCGGTTTTGAGACAGTAACAGACAAACCTAATGACTCTGGATGATTGTAAGATTCGTAAGTTAAATATAATTTCATCAGTAATCAATCGACGTTGTTCTCAATGTCGCCGTCCAGTGGTTGCTTAGCTCCGTCCTGATCGCCGTATTTTGGTGACACTCATCACGTGGGAAAACAAGGAAAACACTCTGTACTATAAACACAAATACACAGACGTTTTGTGTCCGAAACGTTTTCTTGTATTTTCAGGATTTTTTGGTGACAGGAAAGCTCAGATTGCTGAACTTGCTGACCAGGCAGCCAGAGGAATCGTGGATTTTTACCACAGTTTAGCAGTGAGGTCTGTCAACGATGCCATCATGAAAGTGAATGACCTCTTTATCGCTCTCTACGTTATTGAGAAAATAAATCCAAACGCCGATGGTAAGAATGAGTGTTCTGACTACTCTACAAACTCGTTCCCAGACTCTCTTTCCTCTGCCTCCCTCGACGACCAATGGAGGCAGAGTAGAGAGAGCCTGGGAACGACGTTGCTAACTCTACACCTTGCATGCAGCTGGCGCCCCTGAAGTTTGAATTGACCAATCAGGATTCAGAAGGCGGGGGAAACTGTACTGTCCTGACGCCCATGTATGTTAACAGGAACAGGAAAGGCATAACACTCGGGAAACGTTTCTCACCAGAGACGGCATTTACAATTCCAAAGCCAACCCATATCCATAGACTGTAAAAAGTGAAAAATATGAAGCATTTTGTGTCTCCAATCTTCTAATTTGGCGCCAAAAATGGGTCGCCCGCGTCCGACCACTCACCCGTAGTTTGTCGAGTGTCACCAGCTAGGAAAATAGTTGTGTTATTTTGAGCAAAACATGTTGTTCCGCGTCAAATTAAACTCGAAATTCTCAAGTTTTGTATTAGAAGAGGCCAAAGTAACTTCAGCGTTCTCTTTGCTTTTGTTTGCTGCGAAGAAAAAGACTGTTATTGTGTCGTTTTGGTAGGACACTTCGGTTTTGACTGGTGCAGGCGCCGCATGCAAGGAGAGGCTGGATTAACTCCAGTTTATGTTACATATAGGCCGCATCAAACTTTAACCAGGGTCTTTGTTTATTTTTATTAACAGCACGTCCCATCGTGCGACGCTTGGCGGAGTCAGTAAGCCAGACTGTTAAAGACACCATGCAGCCAGAGGAACCCAACCCAGAAGACGCCGTTGCACGCGCTATGCGAAAAGCCGCTGAACAGATGGTCTTAGATTACAACGATCTTGTCCGGCTTGTCAACAATGCTTGATTTTAAGGGGAAATAAAGTTAACCTGGCATAATAACTAACAAACTGGGTTCGTTGTCCTTGCTTCTAATTCTCACCATTTCTTTGTGTAACAGTAAAATACACCAGTCCACGAAAAGTATTATATTTGAAGGAACTGTCAGTGCTAGATAAGACCCTGATAGACTTAAATGAAAGAAACCAAACTGTGTGTTAATATAACTTATAGCTTCAAACTAAGGGAAGAAACGCCTGTTTGGGGAACTGAAGACATGTGATAACCCCTTCATATCAAATCCAGGCCAGAGCTCAAAATTAGAAGACGCTCCTGCAGCTTCAAGTTGAAACGCCGAGAATTAAGTAACACGCTAGATCATTAATGAAGATTGTGATTTTCTTGTTTTTAGTTCTACTCTGCTCGAGATCGAAACACGGGTTGGTTATTCTTGGGTGTTTTAACAACGTTTAAAATTAAAACGTAGGGCAGTATGGCTCCTTGCATAAGACCTTGTGTCAACTACGTATACTTGAACGCCAACCTCGTTACCAGGGCTTTTCTCTAAGAAATTGGGAGGGGCAGAAAAAAAGCCCTGGGAACGAGGTTGCTTCAAGAGCGGCTTTTCCACTGATTGATGAAAACTCCTATCATCTGACTTCGAGTATTTTCAGGTATTGTTGTATTGAACCTGAGTGAGTTAAGGTGACAGACATGAGAAAATATCTCACCATTTACATCACCTTATACTTCTGTTTCATATACTTCCGCTTCTGAAATTTGACCCCACGTCCAATATGCGGCTAGTTCATCTGTCGGCGGAAGAACGTGAGAACCCCACCAAAAAACAGCCACCCCCATTTTGAAGTGTTGTATGTAGGATGTCTCTCGTTCAACCCTTTAACTTCTAAGAGGG